TCCACTTAAGCCACATAAGCCTCATCACTATTCATCATCTCTCCCTTCCCTCCTCTCTTGCAAAACTGTGCAGCTCCCCCCCCCCCCCCCCCCCCCCCGCGCGCGCGCGCGCGCGCGGACCATTTGGGTTTCAATTTTCTTTTCTGGCTAACTTCATCGATTCTTAACCGAATCGGACAATTCTTGTCTTGAAATTTGTTGGAAATCACATTCCAAACACATTGGTGGTATCCATTAGCCTTGAAACCCTCTCATTTGTGAGAAATAGGCAAAAATCAGTCACGAATTTCTTGAGAATTTTTGTGTTCATGGAGTTGTTTGGAGCTCTAATGGTTTAGGATGTCTTGGAGGAGCCTTGTGCCTAGCTTTTGAGTAAGTTTCTTCATCATTTTAATGGTTTAATCTTTGGATTTATTTCATGAACCCAAAAGGGGGTTTTGTTGATTGGTGTTGTTAGGGAGCTCAAACGGAAAATGTTTGTACATGAATATGTCTTAGAATGATGTGTAGGAGCCATAAATGCAATAAATATTATTGGTGAAAAATATGATTTTTAACTTAGAAAAATTTGATGGTGTCATGACTTTATGTTTGAGATTATTGTTAGTATTGTGTAATGGGATTGTGGTATGGTTGTATGATGATATAATAGGATTGTATGAGGTGTGGAATAGTTAAAATTGGTTGAAAGTTCCTTGGAGTTCACCTATGTAGAGTTCATCTATGTTAAAATAGGTTGTCGTACGTAGATTTGAACCCCGAACCGTGAGTTCGGTGGATTGCCCTTGGTCCCGGACCAAGTGGGATTAAGGTGAGTAATTAGAACCATGCTTGTATAATTGGTAACTTGCATGTGTTGTATGAATTGTAAGTAATTGGGAATGTCCTCTGTGTAGGCATTTCTGTTGAGAAACGAGCTCGGAGAATATAATACTTTGGAGCTAAGAGGAGAGGACTATACAAGTAACCTCTTGGTACTGGGGCTTGATCCCCTTGTGTGTTCCACCATGCCCGTTGAGGGCGATGGTAGGAAGTGTATGTAAGTAATGTAGAATAACATGATCATGCATGTAGTATGTATGTTGGTACATAGGATGTACCGAGTCTCTGGCCAGTAGACAGTTTGCCTTCGGGCGTTACGGACTTCCACTGGATAGGTCTCTGAGAGGGAGTTCCAGTTGACCTAGGGTCGTGGTATGTGATCCGGATAAGAGCACACTAGGAAGTCTCAGGTGTATATGGATGGAGGGTGCCTCGGTTAGATGTTCTAGGAACACGTCTTGGTTAAGACCCGTAGGCTTATATGCCGAGCCATTAGGCAGGACGTTGCGTGGTATTGGCATTGACCATTCCAGCTTCGTCGTATTTTGTATCCCTATGTTTCCCAGTTTCTCTAAATCCCTTGCTATATCCCGTTTTAAAGATGTTATGTATAAATCAAAATAATCAAAATAAATCCCATACTACATAACTCTCTCTCTGTTATGTATAAATCAAAATAATTTTTATCTTTCACCTATACTAAGCAACACATAATCAACATAATGAGAAGGAAAGTTTTTTTCTTAATTAGAAAAATGAAACGAATGTAGGGGAAAAAAGAAAAGAAAAAAGGAGTACATGGTGCTTGGTGAACGCAGATCCAAAGGAAAGTACTTCTTCTTCTTATAAGCCTCCCTAAATGCTGCTTTTTTCTTTTGGGAAATCACCGTGAGCACCTGAGCTATCGAAAGCCAAACCACTTTTCTGCATCAACATAACAAATGCAATCGAGTAGTGCATGAAAATCAAAGAAGCAAGGACATACCGACAGAGACATGATTTGTGGGTTAAGGTTTGTAAACCTTGATAAATCACAAAAATCGAAACCCA